GGGCACGTATTAGCGATGTACCTTCGTTATACCATATACTCACGAACCGAAGAAGAATTTATATACCGTGCGAGAAAGCTCGGCTGCTTATCTTTCGGCTTCGATCGTACGCTCTATCAATTGAGAAAGAGAAAAAAAAAAAAAAAAAAAAAAAAAAGAAAGAAATTGATTGTTATTGCAACGATCGAAAATGGTGTTAGGTATACGTAAAGGGGAAAAATAAAAAAAAAAAAAGAAAATAATAATAATAATAATAATAATAATAATAAAAAGAAGAACGGGACTTACGTTTCTAAAATGAAAAAAATTTGTCGTTCTTGAACTGAACCGATAACATGATGTTATCTATCTTTTGCTTTTAGTTTTTTTTTTCTTCTTCTTCTTCTTCTTCTTTTCCTTTTATAGCGTCTTTGAAAAAATTTGCGAATAAATTAGATGTTCAATAATGACGAAAAAATAGAAATTAATTGTCAGTAATAAATATTGATGACATCTTTCTCTTCTCTCTCTCTTTCTCTTTTTTTTTTTTTTTTTTTTTTTTATTATTTTTCATTTATTTTTCTTTTTTTCAGATTCATTTCTTAGAATGCAAGAATTTTCTAGTATGTAAAAACGGAATCATTTTTTAGAATGCAAAAATGAGATAAGAATTCTTTCATGGCCAGGTGTTATTATATAAAAAAAAAAAAAAAAAAAAAAAAAAGAAAACAAAAGAAAAAAAGAAAATAAAAATTAATCAGCTGGATGATAAATTGGAAATCAAAATCTTTTGATTGAAAGAAGGGAAAAAAAAAAAAGAAAAAAAGAAAGAAAAAGAAAAGAAACAGCACAGAATACTGTCGGAAAGACAACTCAAGTGAAAAGAAAAGAAAAGAAAAGAAGAACGAGGACAAAAAAAAAAACATTTCTCCCATATACCATCCTTTTTTATTGTGAAATCTCGAATGCAAAATCACGCCTTCCGTTTATCGATTTTTCTATTCTACGATCTATATATCCACATATTTATAACAAAAAGCAGAAATGAGAAGGAAAAAAATAAAGAAAAAAAGAAAAAAGAAAAAGGAAACAGAAATATAATAATAAAAAGGAGAAAAATACGAACGCGACGTCGCGTCGCCAAAGGCGTCGGTCGTTTACACACACACACACACACACACACAACAACAAATGTACTCATCTATACGTTTCTATATATGTATTCCATTTATATATATATATATATATATATATATATATATATATATATGCGTATAAATATGTGAGAGAGAGAAAGAGAGAAAAAAAAAGAGAGAGAGAGAGAGAGAGAGCGAGTTTGAGGGACGATTAAGCGATTATCCCCTCGATCGGTAAAACGTGCGAGATTATCCGCTTCCTGGTTTACGTCCGATCGCGATTATCCGTACTTTTCTCGGGAAATTAATTAATGCCGACTCGTTAAAGAGGGACGGCGCAAATGTATTTAAGCCAAGGCTTACATACATACAAATACACACATACGTATATATATATAGATATATAAATATATATATATATATATATATATATATATAATATATATATATAAATATATACGTAGCACTTTCGTCGGGTAAGCAGGTACGAGACCGCCTCGAGGATCGATCCTGCCGCTTTTACGATATAATACCAGAGAAAATGATACTCTTAAAAATGGCCGGCGACACGTTCCAACTCGAGTCACGACGATTTTACAACATTAAATGTTCTTTAAGATATAACGAAACGAATCCAATTAACACAATTTCAAATTCAAATTCGATTGAATTCTTTTTATATAGAAAAAGATAGGGAATAATAGCTATGAAACTAATTACCAATTGAAAATATATTTATATTAATATTAAAATGAATAATTTACACGAAAGTTTGTCTAAATAATAATTAATTATCGTATTGATTATTATTAATAATTTTTTAGTCTTTCTTTTTTTTTTTCTTTTTAGATAAAAAAAAAAAAAAAAAAAAAAAAAAAAGATAAAGATAATATAAATATTTGTTTGTTAAATATAATTATTTAATTATATATAAATTTGTAATTGGTTTAAAAATATAAAATAAATTTTAACTCTCTTTCTCTTTCTCTCTCTCTCTCTCTCTCTCTCTCTCTCTCTCTCTCTCTCTCTCTCTCTCTCTCTCTCTCTCTCTCTCTCTCTTTCTCTATCTATGTATCTCTCGATATAATACGATTAATTCTCAACGTTATATACGTTCGACGTAACTCTAATAAAATTTTCGTCGAAATATAATTCATAAGGTATGACGACGTTAAAAACCCTTAAGGGAGTAAAACATTAATAAGGTTCAAGATCGAAACTATCGAGGAATGATTCTTACGGTTCTGTACCACGTAGAATCGCGTTAGGTGGATCTCTATGAAGAGAGTAGAAATAAGATTTCGATATCGTAAAGCCAGTAAAGATATGTATCTATATATATATATATATATATATATATATATATATATATATATATATACATATATATATATATATTTACGTATATATGTACATACGTAAAAGGGCTGAAGCCCTTCGAGCGCTTACAGAAATATCTTAAGAAAGACAGAAACGTTGGCGAAACGAGGCTTGAGGAGAGGTAGACCTAAGATTTAAACGTTCGATATGAAATAGAGGCTTATGGGGGGAGGATTCTGCTTAAGAATGCAGATCTCCTTCTCTCTCTCTCTCTCTCTCTCTCTCTCTCTCTCTCTCTCTCTTTCTCTCTCATTCTCTCTCTCTTTCTCTCTCTCTCTCTCTCTCTCTCTCTCTTTCTTTCACTCATAATTCATATGGAATATACCCTCGGCATAATAATTGCCATGCACGCCTGTGAACGTGTGTCTGCATTTAAGTTACGAACGTACGAAGTTTGTACTCTTATGTACGTACGTATGTATGTATGTATGTATGTATGTATGTATGTATGTATGTATGTATGTATGTATTACCTATATCCGCTTTGGAAAATCTTCGGCGCCACTACTACGTAAAGCAGGTGTGCCATAATCGGAGATGTAGTATCGTTTCTGTCTATTTTAAAAACGATAGTACAGAACTATAATTAGAAGTGAATACTTATGCATTTTATACTTCGCAAAAGAGAAGAGGACGGGATGAGAGGGGATGAGAGATAGAGTGGGGTGAGATAGAATGAGGTGAGGTGAGATGACGAGAAGATAATTCATATCATTCTACCATTCATAGCGATATGCATATGTGGTCTATTGTTAATTGTAAATTTACGGATTTTTTTTTTATTTGTTATTTCAATTTTTAAAGAATCTGTTCTTCTTAATAAAGAATATATATATGTATATGTATATGTATATGTATATGTATATGTATATGTATATGTATATGTATATATATATATATGAAATATATAATATTTTTGAAAATAAATAATAATGGAAAGTAGTATTACTTTCCATTGTTATGAATAAGTATGAATAAGTATTTTTATACTATACATAATATACTTACTATACATAAGTATGAATTGTACTTCTCAGAATGATTTGATGTGGCTTGAAAATTTGATACAAAAAAGAAATATATATATACATATATATATATATTTTTTTTTTTTAATATGTCAATCATTTAATTATATTTTTTTAATTATTAAAAAAATCAAATTTCTATGCAGATATATAAATTTATTTTTCATCGCGAAATAGTCTAATGAATTTTTAATCATTACAAAAATCTAATCAACATGTACCGATTTGTAATTTTTTTTATTTTTTTTTTTTTTTAATAATATATTAATATTATTTATTTATATTTTTTTTAAGTGTTAAAAAAATTAAATTTCTATCTAGATATATAGATTTTTTTTTTCATCGTGAAATATTAGATTAACGAATTTTTAATCACTACAAAAATCTGATTAACTAGAAATATACAATTTTTTTTTTTTCTATCACATATCAATATTATTTACATTCATTCTTTTTTGTTTTGTTTAAATTATTAAAAAATCTCTATACATTATATACATATATATATATATATTTTTTTTTCTTATCATGTACAATATAAACGTCATAACATCATTAATATTAATCATTAAAAAATTCAATACTATTGATTTAGACCGACATCCAAGATGATTTAAAATTGGAACGATAATAAAAATGATCTTTATTTATTTATTTATTTATTTATTTATTTATTTATTTATTTATTTTTTCTTTTATAACGACAAAAGAATTACGATAGTTCAGCATTAAAAGTAAATGAAAAGATAGAAATTTTATTCGATCTAAGGATCTCCCGGATAATGTTGATCCCGATCGCGAACCCGAACCCGACGATGTATATCCGTTATTCGATCGAACCAGAAGAGAGATACCAACACAAACGAATGAAATATACACGATACGAACTCGTCGCAATCGTAAATCGTAATTCGTTGCACGACCGATTTTCCTTCGTATATGCGCCTACATACATACATACATACATATACATACATACACAAACCAAACACAAAGCAAAGCAAAGCAAAGCAAAGCAAAACAGAGCCAAACACACAAGTACATATCTATATACGCAAGTATTATAGGTATATATATATATATATATATATATATATATATATATATATATGCATCGGTCATCATCGATAAAACTCAGTCGTCACGAATCAAATAGAAGAGAATTTGAGTATGTATTTCCCTCGTCCCCCTACAATTCTCTAACGCTTTGTAAAAATAATTAAAAAATAAAAATAAAAATAAAAAAAAAAAATAATAATGATAATAAAAAGATGAAGGAAAAGAAAAGAAGAAAAAAAAAAAGAAAATAAAAAAATACGTACGCAATGAAAAGAGAGATCTCGAATGAAATAATAGGTTAAGCAATATCATTCTCTCTCTCTCTCTCTCTCTCTCTCTCTCTCTCTCTCTCTCTTTTATTCTCTTTTTCTAAAGTAAAGGATAATAGCATGATTAACAAAAGAGATTTGTTAAATAGACTATTGTACTACAGAGAAGGAAAAAGAAGGAAAAGAAGAAGAGGAAGAAGAAGAAGAAGAGGAAGAAGAAGAGGAAGAAGGAAGAAATGAAATACCATGAGAGCCATAAAAAGCATGGCTACGAAAATGAAATGAAAAAAGAGAACTTGCTCGAGAGAAATGAAAACGTTCTTTATTTCTTACCGACGATAATTATCGTTCCTTATCGTATATACCGATCGTCCGGTATTAAACGAATAAATATTCTCGAATGAAATCTCATTCGTACCATTGTCCCTTTCATTAATCAATTTCAACGATTATTATGTTTAACATCTATACTTCCTATATCGCGATTTCGAGTTAATTCGATTTCCGACCTTATCTCGATCTTATACTTCGTTTTTTTTTTTTTACATTCATACATACATGTATATATATCTATATACACACACATACACGTTAATATTACTATTATTATTATTATTACTATTATTATTATTATTATTATCGTTAATATTGTTATTATTACTATTTATTATCGACGTGTTAATAAATTTTAAATGAACAATTTAATAATCTTATTAGTCTTAAAAAAAAAAAAAAGAAAATAATAATTATGTAAATTAATGAATGAATGAATGAATGAATTAATTAATTAAATAAATATATTTGAAGATACAAAAAAAATGTGATCCATTTGCACGAGTCTCCTGTTTATTTTAAAAAGAATAATAAAAAAAATTTTTATATAAACGATTTGATATAAAGAAGAAATAAAAAAGAAAAAAAAATGTTGATTTAATTAATTAATTAATTATCACGTATTTTATTTAAATAAATAAAACAAGTGAATAAAGAAATTTTTACATCTAGCAGGCAGAATTTGACGGAAGTCCTATCGAGAAATTCTTTCTTTATCAATTTCGTCTCTCTGACACAACAATAATATTATAATAATAATAATAATAATAATAACAATAACACGGAGGATAGCAATCTTAAGTGTTGTTTGTCTTAAAGAAACTGGAACTGTTAGCACGTAACCGAGAAATAATCACATTTATATGGCAGCTTGTAGCATGTTCATTCCAAGAAATTCAATAGCAAGCAGCAAGAAAAAGAAAACAGAAGGAAGTTATTTTTTCTTTTTTTTTTTCTTCTTCTTCTTCTTCGTCTTCTTCCATCAAAATTCTTCGAATTGGTAAACTTCGAGTATTCGAATTTTGTAACACCCTTTTATAAAAATATCGTTTATTTGTTGTTTTTTTCTTTTTTATTTTTTCCTTTTTTTTCCAATACATGCTCTCATAATGATCCAAGATCGAGACACGATAACATGGAAGAAAGCGAATTTTAAAAGGAGTCGAATTTCTTTTTCATTTTTCTTTTTTTTCTATTTTGTTTTGTTTTGTTTTTTTTTTTCTTTCTTCCTTTCTTTTTTTTTAATCGAAATAAGAAATCAGAACGGATAATATAAATATCGTTGATAATTAAGATCGTGTCTTTTTCGATAAATAAAAAATATTATTAACGAATAACGTACAAACGGAAATAATGTCGAGCTTTGATTTTCGTAGGAAAAAAAAGAAAAAGAAGAAGAAAAATATTCGTTTCATATATGAGTTTAAACGTTTCCGTTAAACCAACCAAGGAAGACCGAGAATGATAATCTCCTGGACTTATCTTATAAATGGAAATCATAAAACTGAACGGAGAGTTTATATATATACTATATGTACATACATATGTATATATATATAACACCTTGCGTATATATATATATATATATATATGTATGTATGTATGTATGTATGTATGTATGTATGTATATTCATCGTGAATATGTAAATACATATGTATTTATATTCGATATAATATCAAGTTATTAAAGTCGCGTACGCGAGCTAGAAAGCGGCATTTGTATAAGTACTACAAGAGAAATTAGCATTAATAAAAGAGAAGTAAGTGATGTTTGGTGGTGGGAGCCGGTTAGGCGTTCGATAAAAATCATCAAATGTCGGTAGATATGTCTCGAGTCGTTAATTTCGTTGTTATTATCGATTCAAAGAAAATATTTCATTATTCTCAATCGAGATTTATTAAGCTTCCTTGTTAACTCTAAACAAAGTGAATCAATACTTTACGACGACAACGACGACAATAATAATAATAATAATAATAATAATAATGATAATGATAATAATAATGATGATGATGATGATGATGATATATGATAATAATTTATAATAATTGTCTTAAGTTGTAGAAAAATATTTTTGTTTCTTTTTTCTTTTTTTTTTTTTATATTTATTTATTTTTTTTTTTATTTTTATTTAAAATGACAATAGAAATTTTGATAAACAATCGAAACGACGTTAAGTGACGTTTCACGTAATCACCGACACTGATATTGTTCTATTATTTTTATTTCATAATAATTTCAATATAATATATGAATTTATTACCTTGACATTTCATTTTATTCCTTCCATTCTTTATTTCTTTTTTTTTTTATAAATTTATATGTACGTATAAGGTATATGTACATATGTATTTATGTACATGTGTCTGTTTATGTGTTTGTATTTATGTATATATATATATATATATATATATCAAAGTATGTAGAGATATATATGAAGTGTTACGTAAAGTCTACACCGTGTCTCGATGTTCCAGCTGATTTTTCCGAGCAGACACGCTCTTAAGATCGCACGAAACATGAATGGCCTGACGCGTGCATTGTACTTTCACCTGACACCGGGAGTCGAGTAATAACTCTGTCGTTGAGCTTAATTGGACTTCGACGGTATTCGCATGGCATCGGTGCCACTAGATTTATGAACATATTGTGTAACGTCCTACGCGATGATCATTAAATTCTCTAAAATGAAAATATTTTAGATAATAATATTATATCTAAATAGTTAAATGTTCCTGCCTAGATTTATGTATATACCTACATACACATACATATGTATATATTATATATTATATATTATACATTATATATTATATATATATAATGTAATTATTTGAAAGTGTACATTTTAATTATTTATTTATATATAATATAAATAAATATCTAAATAGGTGTATATTGGTATGCTTCTATATGTTATATAGATATATATATATATATATATATATATATATATATATATCTAAATATCTAAATATTATATATATGTATGTATGTATATATGTATGCATATATACATATCTACTCTTATATAGATATTATATTATTATCTTTATACATGTGTAATATATATATATATATATATTATATATATATATATATACATATATATATATATTATAGATCATATATAGATATATACATCGTTGAAAATAATGATAATAAATAAGGAGAACGAAGTTCATTTGTTATTGCAAAAATGATAAAAATCAATGTCAAGTAAAAAAAAGAAAAACTGGATTAACCGGCTTCTGAAACGAAGAAGACTTCTTTTTCTCTTCGACGAGAATATAACGGAAACAAAATCTCAGGATTTCTTCTGTATCAAATCGATATCTCGGTCGTAATGAATTCTTATTTATCGATTACTCACCACTGGTCGAACTGTACTCGCCGATGTATCGCCTCGTTAAATATCGGACGACCACCGCTGAAAAGAAAAAAAAGAATGGTTGAATTACTTTTCTTTTTATCTTTTAAACCAAGTTCATTTGTTTAAAATATAAGAATGATTTAAAAAAAAATAAAAAAAATAAAAAAAAAAGAAAGAAAGAAATGAAAGATAGTATACCAAATATAATTATTTATACTTGGTCAAATTTTTTTTTTAATGGCCTATAGGAAATTAAAATTTTCTATCGTGAACATAATTTCACTAAAAAATATATTTTTCTCAATTACATATATAAATAATTTATAATAATATTTAATAATTTATATATATTTAATATACACTTAATTATTTATATATATATATATATGTATATAATTAATTTTTAAATATACAAATTTTATATTACAATACCTAGTAGTAATATCTTAACACAAAAAAAAATATTATAATAATAATATAGTAAATATTCAAATAAAATATTATAATATCCAGTTTAATGTTATAGAAATTAAAAAAAAAAAAAAAGAAAAGAAAAAAATAAAATAAAATAAAAGAAAAAAAGAAAAGAATAATATACGAACTTATTCAGATTTCATTCTAAAACGAAATCATCCGTCATGTCCTAATTCGATTTCATGATTTTATTAATAAAAGACACCTGTTTGCTGATCGCGTTCAAGTATTGCATACCTACATACCAAGCCATCGAGAATAATTAACACGCTTTTCCTGTCCGGTTGGGCTAATTGGCGTTGATAAATTTGACAGCTGCCGGGCGAGACGTTAGAAAGCAAACCTCCTGGCGTGCATTTATGAATTTAATTTAGTTTACCGCTCTTGAAAATGTTAACGAAAATTTCTAGTCAATTTGAACAGTTCAACAAATTCTACGATTAATTGGAAATTAATTCGATACTATGCCATTAATTAACAATCATTAACAAGCAATTTATTTTATAATTATCACAATTTTGCTTTTTATTTATTTATCACGAGTTTTTCCAACGATAATCATCTAATATAATATTATATTTTCGATTTATATCCCGTATAAAAGGTTTAAAAAAATATTCATTTAAAAATTATTATTATATATAAAATTATTTTCTATACGTACAAGTATATATATATATATATATATTAATTAAAAAAAAATAAAAATTAATTGTAACATAATTTCGATGTACGTAAATTTAATTGCCCCATTAAACATACTTTTTTTTATATTAATTAACAAAATCACTATCGTATCTTACAATTATATTTTCTTTATAATAAATGTATTAAAGAAATTACACAATTTCGAATCTACGTAAATTTAATTGTCCCGTTAAAGATAATTTTTATATTAATCAACAAAGCCAACATTGTATCTACCTAAGAACATAAACAACTATATTTTCTTTGTAATAAGTGTATATATTAAAGGGGA